CTCACTCCATTTCCAGAACACAAGCCCACAAGCTGCTGCCGTGAGGTGAAGTCAGCGTGGGTACAGTGGGTGCAGCTGGGCAGTGAGAGGCTTGATGCCAATCCGTCCCGTGGACAAGCTTAGCAGAACAAACTTTGCACGATAAAAGTTCTATATACCACAGTGTGAGGTTATTAAAGCGTTCCTTCTGCAGGCCCCTCACATGTCCAAATGACCTGGCCTGAGTGTGGGTGGCATTCCTCACTGCTAAGGGCAGCCCCTGCCTCACCCCTGCCTGGCTGCTCCAGCCCCCCACCCCAACCCCTGCATCACATCTCCATCAAGTGACCACACACTCCATGTCTAGGTCCCTTTTCTCCTTTGCAAAGTATTTTCAAAAGGCATCACTGTATTCACTCTTGTAAGGTCGTGTTGTATGTGTTGTATGTTCTATACTATATATTATACTATATATGTATTATATGTTCTTATAAGGTCCTGTGTTTTATATTATAAACTATATGATATATATACTATATACTCTTGTAAGGCCCTGTTATGTATTATATACTATATATATATACACACACACACACACTATATGCATTATATACTCTTGTAAGTTCCTGTGTTGTATATTATATCCCTAATGTGTACTTTTGAGTGTATACACACACCTGTCATCTTCAAATTGTTTTCCTAGGAACATTCCCCCCCCCAACTTTCCCCTTGGCTCTCAGCAAACTTTAGCTGCCTCCTTCTTACCTGGAACCCCAACATCATCAGGCATGAGCTGGTTCCATGAGGCCTTTCTATGTTTTTCTGCAAAACTCTTATTTTCCTCCACAGACCTACTACTTCTCTTTTCCCCCACATTCTTCTAAACTTTCTTCAAAGACATAGCAGAATAATAGTGATTAAAAACATGGCCCTGGCCCTGGTCTCCAGCATGTTGCTTCACTGTGCTTTGCCTCCGCACATGAGCACACATCACAGCTCCTTCTGGGTGGCTTCAAAGATGAACCGAGTTAATGTGTTAAGGCCTCGGAGCAGGGCCTGCACGTCATAAACACTATGTTCCATGACCCTCCCAACACTGACCACAACAATGGATGCTGTCGCTGGTGACAAGCACACTGTCGTCTCTGCAGACATCTAGAGACCTCTGCAGCCTTTGTCTTCATTTGCTGATCTGTTTCTATTTCAGAAGAACACTGAAAAGTTTCCAACAGCTTCCCGTTTGCCTTTGAGTCCTCAACTCTGCCCCCATCAGACGGATTAATGGCTTGTCCTTTCCGATTTGTTCATAAGCTGAGACAGACGTCAAGTAGCTGACATTACCTTTATCTTGCACGGAGGGCTTGAGAAGTCCACAGGCGTTCAACAGCTTTCCCAAGTTACAGACCTAGCCAGCGGTATTGTCAACCTTAGCGCCATGTCCACTGATGGGCACTGTATGTGAGCACCAGACTGGCCAGGTGACTTGTGACTCATCTACGGATCGGGCTCATTTTGAGCCACGTGGCTCCCATGGGGGCCTCTTTAGAGGCCACTCTGGCCACCCTCCAGCCAGCCCCTCCAGTGTCTCCTAGATGAGATGCCCCCAACCAGAACCTGTGCAGCCCCTTCCAGGGCACCCTAGGAACCTGGGTCCCTGCAACTTCCTACTTAACGGGACATGAGCATCCTCCAGGAGCCCAGCTCTGTACAGACCTTGAGTGGTGTGGATACCCACTGGCTATCAGCTAGGGACTGGGCAGACTATAATGTCCACAGGCGTGGAAATCGGGGCCAGCTTTGTGTGGGGTGAGGCCAGGGTCAGAGCAGGACGGGCCGTGACCCCGGGGGTTGTGTTGGTTCATCAGCCCCCAAGGTCAGGCTGCACTGTCCTGCACCCTCTTTGGATCAGACTACACCATCCTGGATCCCGGTGCCCATTCAGAGAAGGGCTGGTGACCGGCTGGCTCTAGAAACTCATTGCTCCTATGACTAGGAGGCCAGGATCTCTGTTCTTTCGAAAGAACCAACTAACTTGTTGAATTTCTGGTCACTATAAATGTCTATAAAACAGGAAACCAGCCACTTTCCTATTTTTGTATTTCTTGTTGGACCACTGGCTGAGCTTCACAAGTTTACCAGCCTGAGGCGGCCATATTGTACTGGGCTCAGTCAGGCCTTATCTTATTTTTACTACTTTTATTTTCCCTCCACTTAAAACACTGTCTAGGAAAGCTTGGGACAGTGTATTTTTTTTTTTAAACAACTCATATCCTGTTTGGACAGAAAACATGGGAAGGAGAAAGAAAAGAACTCGACTTCCCGTGTGATGGGACCCTGGTACCAGCAGACACCTGGCATTCATCGCTTGCAGAACCACAAAAGCAAGTGAGCGTAGTAGGGTGATGTAGAAGCCCAGCAGCGGTCTACAGGGGCTGGTTGTCCCCCATGTCCATTCTTGGCGCCTGGTTGGGGGTGAGAATATGAGCAGTAGGCCCCGGGGTCCTGGAAGCTCCTGCCTGGGCTCTGGATGTAAATCAGAGCACCTCCATCTCTAGCTCCTGTGCCCTCGAGTTGCTGGAGGAGCTTCTGGGTAAGCAAACTGCAAGGACACAGCATCCAGGTGGTCACCACACAACCTAAGGCCCCCACCCAGTTCCACATACAAGCTTAGATGTAGTCCGATTCTGGATGGAGTCTACAGTTTTCCGACGCCTATACAGCACTATGCTTAGTTAGGCCTCAGCGGCCTGAATATCACCCATAAAGGTTGCTTCACCTGAACACACAGTGAAAGCACCTTGAGCAACCCTGAATAGGTCCAGTCGGTAAGACGCGGCCTACCATCGCCAAGGCTTTGGTTCAGCGGGAGGGCAGGCCCAAGAAGTTGTTCCGTGAACAGCTCGACACAGACACACCCCTGAAACAACCACTTTTTGCTTTATTAGGTGTTCCATGGTAATATAACACAGAGTTCTGAAGGAATAATAAACACGAGACTTATTTTTTTTTTAACCATAATTATTTTGCCATTAAGACAGTGGTTACGAAAAAAAGGTACTCTTCTGGCTACACACATTATCAGCTTTAGCACTGAAAGTTCCTCCACTCATGGGTCACAATCACAATTCCAAAGATTAAAAACCATCTATTGTTAAATCCTACGCTGTTTTAGAGCATCAAGTCACTGCAGTTACTCAGTTCTGAGACGCTGTCCATGTATCTTAGCATTTACATATGACATTCATTTAACAGACACACAAAGCAAGCCAACAGGTAAACATGCTGACACAGCCTGCGGAAACCTTCAGGTTTGAAGTTGTTTAGAGAAAACAATCAACATAACCAAAATCACCATGACCTAGGCACAGGAAAAACAGGAAGACGCAAGTGAATACTGAAGAGCTGCAAGTGTTTCTTAGAATTGAAACAAAAAGGTTTTTTTCCAACTTGTTCAAATTTCCTCTAAGTGCAGGTGAGAAAAAAGCAAATATATTAAGTTAACCAATTATTCTTTAAAAGTGCAATTTACTTTTAAAATAACAAATAAACAACAACAACAACAAAAAATACACCCCAATCATAACCCCAAAGGCAAAGCGTGTAGAGACAAGTGTGAATGAAGAATGCTCTTTTGTGTGTTATGCTTTACAAAAGCAGATTTGGTTTTTTAAAGCCTGCAAACACAACGTTGCTTAGGAAAACCTGTAAACACGTGAGGAAGGAAATGCAACACAGACCAGCAAGCTCAGGCCCAACCACAGAGGCAGGTCCAGGGAAAGGGTCCCCGAGCCCCGAGCCCCACGAGGAGAGAGGAAAGCAGGCATCATGGCAGCGGCCGCCAAAGACCACACTTTCCTTTGCAAGCTTTTCTCCCCACGACAGCCACTATGTGATGTATCACTCATAAAAAGGACTTTTCCTCTGGCAGAGTAAAATGGACTTTCACTTCCTAAGGATTTTCTGACTTTAGAAGGGCTCCCTATATATTGCATATGGCTTCTGACATAGGTGGACCAGAAAAAGGTGGATTTTCCCCCAAGGTGAAAAGCCCCTTGTGCCATCTGGAATCCCAAAGACACTTAGGAAACAACAGGCCTTGGGAGGTAGGGGGCAGACTCCGCTACTAGCTCAACACTTCTAAGCTGTGGCTGGCTCCCAAAGCTTTGACAGGGTTGTTAGCCAGTTAGGCACTAGAGAGCGGAAAAACCTTCATGTCCTGTCACCTCAGGCTTCAATTTCGCAGCCCTAGGGGACGCCCAAGTCTGGGCCCATGTGTGATGGTGTGGTGGGGGGCCTGGCCCTTCCCTGGACAGGAAAAGGCATCACCCACTCAAACACATATGCTCAGAATGCAAATAGCACCAGCCCTCTGAGGACTAAGACAGCATATTACCATGGCTGCCATGACAAAACTCGAGTCCTTCCAGCAGGTTCCTATGAGCACAGTAAAATGGGAGACCTGATCACTACAAGATATGGAAGGAGAGAAAAACAGCATCTCAGAGACAGGGCTGGATGACACAGAGAAAGACATGGAAATATTCATGAATGAGAAAGCGAGAGCACAGAACAGAGGCAAAGAGAGGAAGAGAGAGTCCTCCCAAGATTTAATCTGTAGCAAAAGCTAGGCCAAAAAGAAAACCTACCCTTTATCAACAGTTGGCCCAGAAGACCATGGAATGGCATGTGGACACTCTGGAGCCTCTCAGAAGGGCTATGGTAAGTTTGCCAACCACCCTGAATCAGCTTGATGGTTACGTAATTGCATCATTAGGATGTCCAGTTCAAACCCTTATATTAATATTGAATTAGGCTTTCCAATTTAGTATTAGAAAAAAAAGCTCTCCCCTCCCACCCACCCCTCCCAGTCCCACAAAGAAAACTTTTTAAAAATTAAAAAAAAAAAAAAAAAAAGGCAGCTCCGGACAATTCACTTTATCTCCCCTCTCCCCCATGAAAACGAAGATGATAAGCACAACAGAGGCTGGAGATGGAAAACACCTTCCTTGTGATTAGCTTTGTTTCGCATGTCTGAGTGTTGGATGCGGTTTCGCGGATGGGGTTGGTGGATGGACTTGGGTGTGATATTCCTAAATGTATAGGGAAGTGGGTGAGCAAAATCAGTGACTCCAGGTGAGAGATGGAGTACGGGGACCCAAGAGGGAGCCCCATGAACTGGCTGCCCCACAGTAACTATCACAGGCTCTTTAAAAAAAAAAAAAAAAGGAAGGAAGAAAGTCTCAGAATGTCCTCAGGTGTCCCGACCCCATCCCCAACGGAGTGCACCCGGGAGCTCTAGCCCAGGCTGGTGATGTTGGCACGGCCACCAGGGGGCGCCACGATGCGCTGGGTGGTACGGCGGGGGATGTTGTCGTCGATCTGCGCGCCTGCGGAGGACAGAGGATGAGGGTGAAAACAGTCACAGAGTGGACAAGAGTTCCCATGGAAACTGAAATTACAGGGCTCAGAGCACCAGGCCTGGCCCATGCTTTGTCCTTCTCACACACCCTCCCCGAAGGTTAAGTGACAAAAAAGGGAAGGGCTGCCGGCAAAGACAGTATAAAACAGTCCTCAAGAAACCAGCTGGGTTCATTCCGTGACAGAGTCAAACTACATAAAACAAGGCCACAGGTTCAGGCCTCTGACTTAGACTGCACCCTGTCCCCCACTTCTCCTTGTCCCTTCTAAATCTTCACACACCCCAGAAAATCAACCCTAGAAGCAGTGACCGTCCCTCAGACGTGACGGGTGAGACAGCAAAGACACAGTTATGCCCGCTTCATTTTCAGGTTCGTTGCTTTTAAGGTTTCTGAAAAACAGTCATCTGTACATGGAAATATGGTTACTTTCTAAAAGCTAGGGTGCCCCCAAGAGAACAAGGAAAGACACTTTCCTTAACATGTCATAGAAATTTGGGAACCTATCTGTAGCCCAAGGAGCTGGAAAAAAGACTTCTAGTCATGGTCCAAAGGAAAGACTGAAAAATTCATGTAAGAGCTCTAACATCTGGACTCCTTCCTCTCACTCTCTCTGACTGCCTATTTTATCCAAGCAAGTAAACTGTCAAATGGCTCTGTTCGAAGCACTTTATATGCGTATTAACTAGTTTCATCCCCACAAGGACCCCATGAGTGGCTGTGCTCTTTAAGCCCATTCCACAAATGAAGAAACTGAGGTCATGCTACTCTCCAGCCCGCTAAGCTGTAGAACATCTGGGCCCCACAAGCTGAACTCCTGCAGCAGATAGTATATGCAGGGAGAAAAAGCCTGGAATAGCACAACAATTTTCCTTCTGAGGGACATGATACTCTAGAAAAATGTCTTCTGAATAAGCTGAATGTGACAAATAACATGCATCACACAGCTTTGTATATGATAGAAACTGATGTTGAGATTCTCAACCCAACTGGCCATTTGCTGAGAAATAGATCTTTAGTGATATTAGTATTTCCCACTTGGGGAAAACAAAGATTATCATCATCCCTTTCTGCCTCTGCCCTTTGAACAACAGCTGTTTCAGACTTGCACCTCTGCTGAGGATGGCCCTATGGAGCTGGACCCTCACCAAAACGTACCAGACAAGCTGAATCCAGACTGGTGCAGGTTCCGGACAGGTGGGGCCTGCTGCTTGGCAGGAGAGGTCTTAGCGGAGGATGCTGGAGTGACTGTCTTGGGTGTCACAGACACCTCACACACAGGTCCATCGTACAGGCCTCGAGGAACCCCCCTCAGCTCTGCCAGCTGCAAAACACAAGAGTGTCCCTTGACTCAGGCCCTCTTGAAAGAAGACCCTGGTAACTCTTCTAAGGGGAAGGAACAGAAGCCAGGACAGAGATTTGGAAATGAAGAGCTCTTCTTAAGGACAGGTGTCAGCACATGGCCAGTCCCCAGGAGTCCAGGCCAAAGCTCCTCCCAGGTGAGTCACAGGAAATGGGACCTCTGTAAAAATTAACATTTCTCACCAATTTTTTTTCCTTCAAAGTACTTCAACCTGTAGGACTCTCAAAGGTACTGTGAGAAAGAACTGGTATCATGTTCAAAATCTGCTCCTAAACTTTATTTCTAATTCCCCTCTCCCTTTAATTACCTCCCAGCTCCATCTCTCTGGACCGCAGTCCCCAAGCACCAGTGCCATGGACTGTTTACATGCCCTGTGTCCACTGTACACTTACACACTCATGATATGCTAATTCCTCTGCCTTCCTTCTTTAGCTTATCAAACTACTACTTAAACTTCAAGACCCTACTCAAAATGCCCTCTCACTGTAATACTCCTGCTCACTCTGAAGCAGACCACGCCACATGCTTCACAGCACATGCCACGGTCTCACTTCATTCTGGTTGGCCGTGGATACAAACAGCCCCTTTGCTGGAATTCTGAACTCCAGGAACAAAACCACGCAGGTCTCTTTTATCCCTGCTCCCTATTCGTCTCAATAGTCTGACCCAAAGTGCTGAATAACTATTCACAGAAGCAAACTTGTAAACAATTCAGATTATTCTGAAGTCAGATCTACTCACCCTGCTCCTTGCCTTGATCCGCTTGTAAACAAAATCAGGGAAGGGCTTCCGGGGGATGTAGCGCCCAGAGCCCTCGGTGACATGGAGAGTGCCGTCCTCCAGGACAATCTTCCCCTGGCTGATGACCACCAGCGGAGAGCCACGGCACTCCATGCCTTCGAAGATGTTGTACTCGAGCGCCTGGAGGAGGGAGAACAGCTGAGGCCAAGCTCTGCCATCCTGGCGAGACCCTGGCTACCTGGCAGCGTGGCTGGCCTGACAGCATGTGGATGGGGAAGGGTGGGGAAGAGAGAGCGCAGTGCTCTCTGGCCACCTGGCAGATACTCAACCTGCTTCCTTCCCTGTCGAGCACACAGAATAATCATTTCTTACCTTTCAAAATGTGGAGGGAAAAAAACCATGAAACCAAAAAGTGGTATGTTAAATTGCCTTCTGGGTTTGTAGAGGCTACACAACAAAAATGATTCTGTTGTATTAGCAGTGACTGTATTTTGACAACCCAAGCTCCCATCAGGTTAAAATTCAAAGACCTTCTCCGGCAAGTTCTAAATTTAGTCCCAAAACATGCTCTCCACGAGCAGTGCCCGGTGGCTCGGGATCAGTTTTCCAATCTGTGAGCAATGTGGTTAAGCCACACTCCCCAAATGAAAGGGCTGCAGTAACCTGAGAGACATGCCCTCGATAAAATGCTTGAGTTTTAATTTTCCAAACAACACAGCTATCTTTTTCGGTTTCTAGCTTTGCGGGTGAGACGGGCATATCTGTGTGCCCTCTTGCAAAATTTGGGTGGTTCTCTATATTGCATGTGAGTTTGTTGTTGAAGATCAAGGCTACAGAAAAGAGAGTCCTGCAGTGGACAATCAAACTCCACGTGACCCAGTTCATCCCATTCCATAGCTTTGGCTCACCCACAATTGCTTCTCCAGATTCCAGAACGTTCTACACCCTGCTACCACCCTCACCCTACCGCCACCCCCCCCCCCCCACACACACACAAAAAGCCTCCTCCTGCCTCCCTGCACAGGCACAAATGGCTGGAGCCCAGCCAGAGGGCTGGGTGTGACAAGGTGGCTCAAAGCATAGAAAGCAGCTCAGCTTCTGGGGAACTTCACACCAGGTGATCAGCACTAACAGAGCAGAGAGCTGTTAACAGCTCACTGAAGCTCCGGATAACATTTGACAGTGGCTGCTGCTAAGTACAGAAAAGCCCTAGCTGGCTCATCAGCTCACGGGTGGTGTCAAAAAGCAGCGGTGTTGACTGAAAACAGCAACTGGGGGGTGGTGAGGGGGGAGCACAGCTGTGAGACTCAAAGGAGTAATGTGGAAGCTACCACAGGAAAGGGCTGGAGTGACACTCCGAGAGAGAAAGGGACCCCACACGTGGGTTTACGGGGCTCCTGTGGTGTCCCACGTCTTTCATGCAGTCAAGACACATCCCTGAAATCACATGTGTCTTGAAGCAGGTGGCGCTGTCTGTCGCTGCCAGTATAGACTGAGCACACTCGGGGGAGCGGGCTTGCTATCCCCGAGGCCTGAGAATTATCACGCGAAATCATCGGACATTCAACTCTCAGCTTGAAGTTGCTCTGGACCACACCGGAGAAGGAATTCAGACTACAAACTAGCATAGTTCTTACCAAAGTAGATGCTTTTGTCCTCTCTGCCTCCAGAGTTGAGGCAGAGACCTGCCTCCAAGCAGGTACACACATCTGATGTATCCTGCACCAAGCACGCGCAATGGCAGCACGCGATGTTTCTACAGTCCTGACAGACGCCATCTTGGGTGTGTTTACTATCATAGCGGTTCATTGCCTAAAGGAATGTCTTTAAGTGGATGACGCTGAGATATGATGAAATCCAAGTGGCTTGTGTGTGTGTGGGGGGGGGGGGGGTCTGGACAGATCACTTTAATCTTGTCTAAGAACTGAAATCCTGTCTTCACCTGCCTCCTTCCCAGTGCATCTGTGAAGAGGCCAGCACAAAAACATCATCTGTGTGTACATTACCATGAGAGAATTAATTTGTCAGCTCTGAAACAAGCTTTGAAAGGATCTTTCTCATCCTTCAAGGGCTGGATCGAGCCTCCCCACCCCCAGGTGACTCCAGTTTTCAATAAAGATCGACTTGTGTGGGAAAATAAATAAATAAATAAATAATGGGGACCACTTTATTGAAATAAAGGCCTCCACAGGTCACCAACCACATCTGCCACCCATGAGCTGTGTGACAGAGATGCCCTTGCACGTTTCCACAGCTCAACTTCATCATCTTTCAAAGGGGGACAGCCAAGGCTGCAGGACTCAAGCCAGGACCTAGCAAGCTACTCAGCACAGGCAGACATTGAAGAAACACTCATTTATTCCTCACCTGTCTTTTCATGGCATTTTTCCCAATAGGACTGCACGTCCTTTAGGGTCAACGACATCATGAGAAACACATGAACTGAAGATACTAAGCAAGTTTATCTCCTACAATGACTAGTCCCAAAGGCCAAGAAAAGCTTTGGCTGCTCCTGTTTTTAAAAGCTGAAGGAAGCAGGGTGATGACTCCACGTGACTTTAAATAACAAGTTCAGTGGACAGAAGGGAGGTCAGGGTGTTCAGTGCCTACCTGCTAGCGGGCCTCACTGTGGTGAGCCCCCATCACCCACCAGATGTAGTCGTTGTTCACCTACATCCACATATGCTCCCTAAAATTACTCATCTGGCTGGATGCCTGGAAAATCTAGAGGCCTAGCAACAGCAATAGTTAGTTCAATGCTCCAAATTAAAGCTAATTATCCCGTGGTAGGAAACACTATACTACATGGGAAAGCCTCCTATGTGTAGCCTCTGGATGATTAATGCTGCACAGGTGTGCATCTTAAAACAGATGAGGACAGAAAAGAGTCACTGTCAGTATTCTCTCTCACAACAAGGCTGGCTAGAGGCAAAGGCTGGGCAGGCTACTGTTCTGGAAACATCTGGGTGGTAGGACAGTCTGTGGAGGGGAGGCTCTGTCTTCTCGAATCTTCACTCCTCCATATTCTTTTCTTCCAGGTTAAGAGCTCCCAAACCAACCTCCCCAGCTAGGTGATAAGCAACTTAAGTAAAGAGTCCAGTTCCTCAGTTATATTATCTGGGGAAGGGACTCTGCAAGGGAGCAGAGCACATGCCTCATCGGACTCTGACCCAGAGGCTACATCTGCAGCTTGGCAGGGAACAGCCCCAGACAATTTGGGATTCTAATTCTGGCTCTACCGCAAAATAGCTATGTAACATTAGACTGGTCACTTAAGCTCCCTCAGCCTCCGTTTATTTCTCTTCCCAAGAGGGCTGTAATGATACCATCCCTTAATTGAGAAGACCAAATGAAAGAGTAAAAGGAAATGTGATGTACATGTATATAACTAGGTAGGTCAACTGAGCAGGGACGTTAGGACACCTGCCTGCATAGAGCCATTCTGAGCCCCTGACGGTTGGGATCCAAGTTGCAAGTCAGTGTGACAGATGGTGATGCTCTGAGGCTAAGCCAGCCAGGGAGGAAGAGGGAAATAGCCAATTATAATTACTGAGATGTCAGGGCCTTCACAGAAGACACTCGCCCTCCCAGCACACGTAGGCACCGGCCAAGCCAGAGGTGAGCCCGAATGGCAGAAAGGCCAGGATGCAGCGGAAGGTCCAGGGTGATCCCAGAGAAATGCCAGAAGCCACCCTGACGCCAGTCATGGCACATGGAGAAGACATCAGTACTTGGGGCCCAGGCTACAGGTGTGGGAAGTCTGGAATCAGAGACCATACTAAGCCAGGCTTCCGTGTAGAACATCACTGAAAAATCCTCTTCATTCCTCAAAACTGCATTTCAAGACTCATGAGTTTCTGACACAAAACTCATGTGTCCTATGCCCATTTCCTTTTCAGTCCTCTCCCTTTGTCCATGTTCTTTCACTATCTCCCATCTATGAGCACACAGGCCATTTTTTCTATGATGAATCGATGGTGTCTAACAAATCTGCAAAAGGCCCACCGGCCTCACGGAATCACAAGACCCCTCAAAGCCTGACCTCATCTAGACCTTCACCTCCTGAGACACAGCACGAAGTCACGTGCCCAGGGCCCTGTTGTCCAGACAGAACACCCTAAATTCTGGAGTCTAAGCCAAGAAGGAAGAGAGAGTCCAAACGTGCAGATCCTAAATCCATGATCAGAACAGCTGCTGGGCAGATGATTTCTATTTGGGGACCAGTCTAAGTCAATTTACCCCTTTTGGCCAGTAAGAACACGTCTGCAGGTATCTGCACACCTTGACAGGAGAACAGAGTGGCTCCAAGTCCCCAGCGGGCATCTCAGGAGCGGGCATTTGCAGGTTCTACGCATGTTCTCACATTAAGCACTGCCAAGGGCAGTGTTGTACTGAATTACTGAAATGAAATAGTGCCTGGCTTCTAGAGGGCGCTGGAGACCTATAGACTGAGATCTCATAGAAAGGCCACGGCACCCCATAACGATAATAAAAGCAACAGTCTTACTGAGAAATGGCTATTTCTCAGCAAACGGCAAGTTCTGGCCTGGGGGAAGCTGACGGCATTCACACCAAGTTCTTCCCATGAACCCGGGGGATTGTCCCCACCCGTGTCTCTTTTTGTGACCGTAATTCACTTGAATTGGGTCTGCGCGGTGCCCAGGACTTACACTGTTGTGGGTCTTGGCAGAGATGGTTTTAACGCTGTCAGGATCCCAGATGACCAGGTCAGCATCAGAGCCCACAGCAATGCGGCCTTTCCGGGGGTAAAGGTTGAAGACTTTGGCCGCATTGGTGCTGGTCACTGCCACAAACTGGTTCTCGTCCATCTTCCCAGTGACCTAGGAGTAACACGCAACAGTAGACTGAAGGGGAGAACACTATTTCATAATGAAAAGGAACAAGTGTTACACATAATTTAGAAGGGTGTTGAGGGCATTATACTGAGTGAAAAAGAACAATCTCCAAGGCCCCAAATTGGGTGATTCATTTATGGAATGTTCTATTGGTTTCATTTCCACTCTGTAGGATTCATTTATACAAAGCTTCTCAAAATAACAAAGTGACAACAATTGATAACAGAGTAGAGGTGAGGTAGTAATCTTCCCAGGGGTTAGGAGGTATGTGTGACTATAAAGATGAAGCATTGGAGGGGCCTCCCTGGTGGCGCAAAGGGTTTAGTCTCAGCACTCTGAAGCTATCTGAAGCCACTGCAGCATGAGTTCAATCCTGGGCCAGGGAGCTGACCCACATGGTGCAGCTGACCTCTCCTGTCTCCCCCATCACCCCCCTCAGCAGTGTATTTCAGTCCATCTGCCTGTTCTGTTCCCCACTCCCTCACTCCCACCCCACACATATGTACTGAAGTCCAGTTCTTGTATGCGTAAATAAATCAGTTCCTTAGAAAAAAGAAAAAAGCCCAAGACTGCGTTTTACCTATGGATCCGCTAACTTATACATGGAATAAGAAGTATTTAGGAAGGAAACAGAAGGAAATGACCTACAAAGAGTGGTCAACCATGAGCTAGCTTCTAGAGTATTCTCAATTGCCATTTCAAGGTCTTCATGAGACTCAGAGGCCCCTAATGGCCTCTGAGGGGCAATTAGGAGGCAGGCAAACTGAGACACACCCCCCCCCACCAGTAAGCCCCCCGCTCCTCACCACTGCCTTGTCCCAGATGATGGACATCCGCTCCTCGGTGCCGTTGGTGCCTTCGGGGATCAGGGTGAAGTTGTCCTTTCCTACAGCTTTCTGGGCAGTGTTGAAAGTACAGTGGGCACTCCCAGTGACCTGGAGATCTCCACTGGAAAAGAAAGCACAACTCGCTTTTAACTCATCTTTGACATCGACCATCCTTGAACATATTTTCTTCACGTGCACCGCTTCTGAAGCAGCCCATCCTTCTCCTAGGAGGTGACGACACTGGGAAGATGATTGGAAGATGATTGGAAGATACGGGAAGTTTCACTGGAACTGTTGTTATCGTTACAATTTATGCGGTGTCTTACAGGTCACGGGGCACCACAGCAGACAGAATCCTGCTGACAGCCTCATTCATCCTCTGAGGTTAACTTTCAAGATGGCGCTTGCTTGTAGCTGGAACTCCTGCTCAGACCGCATCCCAGTGAAAGCCCCAGGCCAATCGCCAATTTGCATTTAGAGAACAAATCTGCAAAGCTGCTTTCAGGTACCATGCTGTAATTCGGCCAGCTTGGTCTGAGGAAAGGCTGAAAACAGAACACGTGACCCAGCCCCCAGGACTCACCAGGACAGCAAGGAGTTCAGGAAGTCCGGAGTGGTCGGGTCGGGACTCAGGGGCGGGGAGGTGACAAAGGCTGCGGCCTTGGCCCAGTTCTTGCTCCAGTAGTGAGACCCGTCCGTTCCCAAGCTGGCAGTGACGGGCTCGCCGTACACCACGGTTCCTGAAAACAGCACAACAAGGCTCAGCGTGGCGCAAGGGCAGGAAGAAGACCATCTCGCTGGTCACGGCTGCCAGGTGGCACATCGGGGGTTCTCCAAAGAAAGGTGAGGAGCTCACGCATGGGGAGGCCCAACTACTAGGCCAGCCAAGCCCTTCCAACACATGCTCCCTAGGACCTCACCTTTGACCCCGCTCTCCCTGCCCAGGATTTGGGAGATGAGCCAAATCCTCAAGGATTTCCAACCATACGAGCAATCTCACCTCAGATCACTTTCAAGCGCCTACTCCTTGTACCGTCCACACTCTTACTTTGGGATGACCCATGATGCCTCAAACTTGTGCACTCCCCCACCCCATTTCTCCCACCACCACTTTACCCCTTTGCCCCCACCCCGTGTCTACATGATATCAGTGGCTTAAAGTGTTTGCAGCCAGTTCACAGCCCCCCAGACCGGTCGGGGTCAGGGGCTCATCACCTGACAGGACCGGCCTTGAGGTGCCTGATGCACAGCTGACTTTGTAAGAGTAAGAAACAGAGGGCTGTCTGGTTACACTGAGATGCCAGGGCTCCCAGAGACTTAGTCTAATTCAATGAATAGAATGTCCAAGAATTTCAAGTTCCTGGCCCTCCAAAGCATGTCCTCCTTTCTATTCATTCGGGTGTAAGGCAGAGGTGGGATCGTTTATATGCACTGAATTTGCTGCCTCAAATTCATCCTTTCCACATGCCTTCCCTTTTATCCAACGTCCACCGTTTCTCCCCAGCTCATTCCAACAGCACCTCCCAAATAGAGTTTAGGTTTATTTCTCCGTTCCCAACCTTCTACCCTGCCTCGGCATCCATCCTCCACGACTTTCAGAGTGAGCTCCCTAAAATGCAATCTCCCACCCTGTGCTCCTGCCTAAAATGCTAAGGAGCTCGTTCGCCTTCAGAAACAGAAGCAAACTCCTCGTTGAAGCATCACATACCTGCACCCTTCACCCTCCCATCCAAGCCATCTTTCTTTAGCATGGGTTAAAACACACCAATCACTGATTCGGTATTGAGAGGCCCAATTGCAACTGAGGATTGCAACTGAGATGGAAAAAAATGCACAAAATGATGTAAAAAGAAACTAGTATATAAAAAGTAAATAACTAAAACACCAACCACCTGAGAACCCCAACCCAGACTACGTCACCCAGTTCTGCCATCTTTGGCTGACCAGTAGGTGGAGCCACACCGCCGATGAAGACACCCTGCCTGCACTTAACAGGGCCTCTACAAATGGGCTCAACTGAGGAGTCTACTACCTTACTAAGGGCCTCAGAGCTGCAGTTTGATCCCAGGACAGCCTTACTACCACAGGCATTCAGCTCGGCTCACCTTCCCATCATGGGGTGGAGGGTCACCCCCATTGTCAGCCAGCCAGCCAAGCCGTCCTCATTTCTCCAAACAGGGTACTCAAGCCCAAACACTTCCCAGCAGGAATGTCTCCTTTCCTCTCTACTGCCTTCTCCAGGGCTTTATCTCTTGCTAAGACACCGCTGTCTCTGCCGCAGCAGCTGCTGGGAGGACTGGCTCCGTGGAACTGCCTGCAGCCTCAGGAATTTCTCAAAGGAGTCACAGTCAGCAGGGAATGAGGCACAGCAATCCCTTGGGGAAATCACTAACAGTCCCAAGCAGCAGGAAGGCTCAGGACCAGGGGAAGCCTCACCCAGAAGGAAGCCCCCAGGATGAAGGGCCAGTGTTTAGAAGCATCTAGAAGGTCCCCTGGGTCCCTGACCTATTCAAAGCTTCCAGGCTGCACAAACCACTCCCACTCTCCCCAAAGTGGAAAAATACTGCATAATGAGAAAGCCTGGGTGCTGCCAACTATGTTTATGAAACACAAATGCTGGGCACGTCCAAGCTGGACCGCACTCAGCTCTCACGGGACCTCTGCTCCCCGCAGTGGCTTCAGCACCAGCCTGAACTGGCTGGGCTGAGAGGAAACTCTTCAGGCCGGCTGTGGCCGGGGGGTCCTGCCAGCTACGTGTAAGCTCAACGGTGAGGTTTGTACACGCCATTACAACAGCAAAAGATCTGTCACCTGTATGATTTCCTGATTTTGTCAACATGAAAAAGCTCTAGAAGCAGATTGCTTGGAGATAAAGAATGGCTTGGACAGTTTTGAAAACCCTCGGACAAAGATAAAATTTCCTGGCTTCCATGTAAGTTGCTCCTCAAACTCTCCGTGAATTTGCTCTTCAGTCCTGCTCTTAGAAACTTCATCATGGAACAACCTGAACTTGGACAACATCCTGAATCCCACCAGTGTGAATGTCACTGACTGGCCTTCATCTCCCCCTGAGAGGCATGACTCAGGCTGGGGTGGGGAGCTGGAGCCCTAGTGAGGAGCTGTCTTCTCTGTGCACAGGGCCACACACACACCTCACCACCAGGGAATGAACTTGGCCCTCAGCCTCCCGAGACCCCAGCGCTGGGTCAGTGTCTGAGGCCACGGCTGAGCAGACCTGCTGCCTTAGCGCAAGTCAGACCAAGCCCGCCTGAGGATGTCTGGGCCAGGATCCAGCACAGTCGGGGGCCTCTGGAGAGGCAGGGAAGCCTCTCGGGTCTCATTTCTGTCATGTTCTGTTCAAACACCAAGAGATTCAGACACCGTTGCTGTCTTCCTGGTAGAGCTTTTGCTTCCGTCCTCAAAGGCAGAGACCGAATGGAGCTGAGCCATCATTTAAGAGGGAATGTGTGTCCACAGGTAGGTCACTGCTTCCCGGCACCTTTGGCCTAGACCCTCCCCAGAACGCCTTTCCGCATCCTATCAACGCTGTACCTGAGGAACCTTTCTGGACCAGCTTCTTTCTGGAGCTCATTCAGCCACAGACACCACTGAACTGAGCACCAGAAATAATTACCACTAATAATAATAAACCGCAGAACAGGCTTCATCAGCCTTTCTGCACTTCTGTAAACACTGCTGATGCTTTCTTGGCGGCAGTGAGACCTTCCTGATTTTTTTCTCCAGGGAAAGTCTAAACTGAAGGAGGTGACCCCAAGGCAGCCTTTGGCAGGCTCACTAGGAAGGCCAGGAAGTACAGGGGCCGGGGGTGGTGTTTATTCACTATGGGCAGGGGCCCAAGTACATTCAGGACAAATAAATGGAAGGCAGGGGTGCAGAAATGTTTGACAGCTCCCGGCGATGAGTTAGTCATTCACCATGAATGAGAGGCAGGAGGACAAATCTTGCGAAGAAACCATGGAAAATCATGCATGTATATTCTGAAACCACCACAAAAACAGGGGGGAAAAGATGAGGCCGTGCGTGCATGCACACGCACGCACGCACACACACACACACGCACATGCACTTTCTCTCCTTTCTCTCAGAGAGCCCAGGCCAGAAATAACTGCCTGGGCCTGTCCATGAAGAACTCTGTCAGATCCTGGTATTTTGGAGATCCTACAAGAACAGAATCTTAACAGTTTCAGATTCTCTAATTACAGATTCTCTAATCTGACTAAGAGGCAGTAATGATTCCTTGAGCAGCAACAACAAAGCACTGCCAGTCCACACATGCGGGGAGGTGGGGCGCACCAGAGAGGCACTACTCAGGACACCCCGACTCAAATATTTTTAAAAGGTGCAGCTCTGGAATATTCTTATTCAAAGTGAGTATAATGAGATTGACTGCATGTTCCCAATGATTTCGGGCCACGAAAAGGATGAGTGCAGAGATTCAAATTACCAAGTCGGGCATCACAGAAATGACCCTAGGTTTCTGTCTCCCCGAGAGAAATGCTCGTCTCCAGTAGCCTCCGAGCCGAGATGGAAAAGGCCCAGGGCCGTAGTCTTCCCGCAAGGGGCTGCATTATAGCACACACTGAACTCGTCTCTTCAGAGAGTGGCTGCCCTTTAAGGGTGGGCTTCAATCAGGAAAAGGCCTCAAGGTGGCCTGTTCACTGAAACAGTGATGTCCACTGTGCCCAGCGTCTCTACCCAGCTGGCCCTTGCTGCAGATTTCAGACTCAAGTGCCCACCGCGCATAAGCCAACCCCCTAAGATCCTGACCGGCTGACAGGTGGGCAGGAAGGGAGGCAAGAAGTTAAGCAAGGAGAGAGCCAGGCAATTTTGTGATATTGGTTCTTTCTGCTTCGCCTTCTCTGATGAGCCCGAACGCAGGTTTTGTTGAGAGCTTATAACTCATAAGCCAGTCCTTGTGCCACTGGGATTCCAGATTACCAGGCTCTCCTCGTGACTTCCAAGGCACTCCTCCCCAAGCTGGCCCGGTCTTCCAGGGCTTAGGGCCATGCACTTTGCATTATGTCCGGTTTGCCCCTCCAGGGTATGGGAAGTTGTGTCTCAAGTTTGAGTTCCCTGTATTTTACATCTCTCAGCAGCCTCATCTGTTCTGAATGTTTCCACATCTGTGTCATGGTGGACATGGGTTTCCTCCTGCTCCTACTTCCCCACACTGGACCCGCAGTGCACAGAGCAGGTCCCAGGAATCAGGAACCAAGGACTCTCTCCCCCACAGCTGAATTATCTGGGTAAAACATTCAACTTCCACATTTCCGTTTCTCTTCCAACACATGAGCCTATTAAACTGTCAATGTCTAAGTTCTCTTGAAGACTAAAAACCGTCCAAGGAATTCTGGTCCTGGCAGTTTTTTCGTCTGCTGGTCATTCCAGGACAGGCTGGTGAGCAGCCGTCCGCTGAAGGCACAGACCACAGGCAGCAGCGTGTTCTCAGGGAAGCCCAGCTGCAGAGAGCTCCTGCAACCGTCCTAATGAAAGTGATTATCTCACCTCCTCACTTACCTAAGCGCATGACTTAGGACCACGGGGCTAATTCTAGGGTGTCTGGGTGGAGAGTACATGGGGGCCCACAAGAAGAAGATACAAGATGCTGATTTCGGGCCCTCCCTGGTGGCGCAGCGGGTTAAAGCACAGCACTAAGAAGCTAAAGCCACTTCCACATGCGTTTGATCCCCGCCTGCCGCAGAGGTGACCACATGGCGTGGCAGACCTCTCCTGACCCGCCCGCTGCTTCCCTCAGCAGTGTACTTCGTTGATCTGCCTGTTCTGCTCCCCACTGTCGCTGGGGAATCCTCTCACTGCCCCTGCACCTCTGGCCTGTATCCCAGTTCTGTATGCATAAATAAATAAATCTTTAAAAAAAATGCTGATTTCTAGCAAAGAAACGCTAAGCCCTCCACAGCCCGACACCTTGAGGCAGGCGGGCGTGTGGGAGCAGGGGCTCTCTCCTCCGTCCTGCCGAGGTTGGCTAGTAGCGCTCTGGGAAATGCTGATTTCCCACATGACTTTGCACTAAGCATTCTCCCCGCCCCAACTTAGGAAGTTTGTGTGTGGAAAACAAGACTCTGTTTTTAAATTAAGTTACACTGAATGTTTAAAATGATATTAAAACTGTTAGACATGCGTCCGTCACTTCTGGTTCATTACCATCTAGTTACACTACAGGTGTAAAGTAGATCAGGTAAGTCACCCCCAATTTGCTCACTGTCAGACACTGTGCTGCGTTCCATAAAGTAGTGACTGGTGCTGGGTGCCCACGCTGAGCCCAGTAATGAAATGTGTGCCTGGGTAGCAGAGGGCCAGGAGAAAGAGGGCTGCCAGCAAAATCGTGGATAATATCTCCTAAAAACTCAACTCAAACTGATTCTGAATAGATGACGTTATTTCGAAGAAAGTTCCTTATTTCAAAAAGGCAATTCCTTCCAGTTGCCAGCAGAGGGCAGGTTTCCAAGGAGAAGGCAAGGCAGTAACCATCTGGGCAAAACCCAACGATTGAGGCCCCAAGGCAGCTCCAGAGCACAAGGGCAAGCATCTACGGCTCTGTCTGGAAGCCATCAGCTCTTGGGACACGCTGACTCACTTGCCACTGAGCAATCTGTTCCAGGTCTCACACCAAATCTCACAAGTGAAGCAATTCCCACAGTCTTTATCCATGGGATCCCATCCCACAGAATGAGACCCAAGGGGCGGAGGTCAAACTGCACCTTACCGACAAGAAAGACGCAGAGATAATGGGATGGAAAAAGAATAAGCGAGATCACGGAAGAGATACAGTGGCCAGGAGAGAGCTAGACAGAAATCACAAGAAATGGAGACTCAAAGATGGAGAGATATAAAACAACAGAGGTGGAGGGTCAATAAATGAGAATAGAGAGGGAGGGAGGGACACCCCCACTAAATTATTCCTGGTCACATCCGGCCAAGATCCACCCTCAAAGTCCATACACCCCCTCAGACTTGGAGTTGCACAGAGCTGAACGCCCCCGGGGATAGAGCACGTGGTGTGGTTTTCCAAACTCAGCCCCAGCAGGTTACAAGAGGGCTCTCTGCATTCATAATGTATGAGGTGCCCCACGGACTGTGTTTTGGAAGAAGCAGCACTCAAAGCTGCACTTAGTAAATTAGTTTCCAAGAACCTCTGACAGGCTCCCTGGTACTAACAGGGAGCCAGCCTCCGCCCACAATATACAGTCATTGTTTATTTATTGGTTGTGACTTGAGCATCAGGAGAACTAGACATGAGAGGGTCTAGGCAAACCTCACTTGGCCAAATTGCACGTGGTTGGTGGTCAAGCCACCATCGGCCATGGAGGGGAAATGAATTTTGCAATATAACATTCCCAAAAGGAACCTGTGGCAGATGGAAACTGACATCATCTGTGTATGTGCCCAGTGTATTTAGACTGCATCAAATTAAATCCAACTTTTCTAGGGGGCAGGAGAGTCAGGGGGAAATCGCCTGCCCATCCGCTCTCTGCCTTGTGTGGCTTTAAATAGACACTAACCAGCCAGCAGCGATGAAGAGGCAGAAACTGGAGCTCCCCTCCTCGCCCAGCTGTAATTAGGTTAATGCTGGAAGGTGATGAAAGCCGCCAGTTGGCATCAGGGTCTGGAAAAGAAGCCTCTGGGGGCGGAGCCCCGACCCTGCTCCCGGACCTGCCCGCCAGGGGGCGCTCACCCTTTTTCCGGGCCTGGGCGATGACTTCCGCCGCACTCTTGCTCATCACCTTGGTGATGTACAGAGGGCAGTTGGTCTGGTTGGCGATGGTGATAGAACGATTCACAGCTTCGGCCTCAACCTAAGAAGAGCGACTGGTGTGAGATGGGTAAACACTCGGTGCCCACCCCACTGTCCCTGTCTTCAGCCTCCACCCAGAGAATCTAAGGTTAACAAACCGGGTGCAACCCTGCATGAGCAGGTGACAAGCCGAGTGTCACCTCATATTAGCTCATATGGGGGTTGCGTCCCTGCCCCTCGGATGTGCTCCGTGTGCATGCAGCAGGCCTGCGACGTCATCGTGGGCCTGGAGTCCATGAGAAATGCAGCTTCCCGGTCCCTCCCATGACCCGCAGGATCGGCCGCTCTGAGGTGGGTTCCAGAGATTCTGCGCTGGCTATGGCTGAGAACCACCACGCTGGACAGTGACCGCTCTCTAATCCGGGCCTCTGTCCCACTAGCCTGGAGATACTGAGTGATGTGGGGTTTGTGCTGGACGCCTGTTAGATGCCACCAATGAAGCCAGTGTGGCCCAAGGAACAATGAGACCTCAGAGCAGACAGCAGGCACATCTGTGCAGGCCAAGGCCCTCTGTGTGAACACGAACACGGCCACCACAGACTGGTACGGCCTCTGGCAGGACACAGGAGAACTGTCCCAGCAACTGGCTGACTCTTTAAACCTGACGCCTGAATGACACTTTACACGACTGCTAGCTCCCTGGACAATGGGCAGCTGAGAGCAGGTTAGACCTTCCAGAGGAATCGGCACTGTGTATTTTGAACAGGCAATTACAGAAGGTGAAATTGTAGGCAACCAGTCTCCTAGACTCTCCTACTCCCTCTCAAATCCTGGCAAAAGGCTGTGGCTTCAATCCTGAGGCCGGGTAGGGGTGGGGAGCTGGGTCTTACCACCCCAAACACTCCCTAACAGGTGCTCAAAAATGTTTACAGAACAAATAAATGACTTCGTTTACTGTTACTGGTTAAAGTGAGGCTATTCCATAAACCGCTGTTATTTTTCACAGAAAATAATGAGTTCCTAGCTAAGCAAGTCTCCACAGGAGCTTGGCTGGAGCTTAAGTTCTATAATTGCATTAACTAGTAATCTAATTAAATAAGCTAAGACAACTCCGTTCACATTTGGCCTTGCAGGATCAGCTATGTTGAGAGGAATGTCTAGAAATCCAAAGGGAAACCCAATGGCTCTTAAAGAAGCCCATTAGAAAGTTAAATGTTTTTAATTCCTGGAATAGCTCAAAGGTCGGCCCCCTCTCCTCTGTTCTCCTTGCAGGAGAAGGGCCTCTGTCCTCAGCAGCCCAGAGGAGAGCTACTCTGCATCTCGGCGGTCACCCCAAAAGCCCACAGAACGAAGAGCCACACGGACTCTGCTAGACCCTCATGGTCCCAGAGGTACAGTGACATCCCAACCCAGACTTTTTGAAGGTAGCAGAAGTATCACTTAAAATGCGCAGGAGCACGGCCTCCGGGTGGCACAGGGTTGAGTCCCAGTTCTGTGCCACCTGCCGACTGTCCTTCACCCTCTTTTTCCCCAGGGAGGGCCCCTTTCAAAAGGGCCACTCAACGCACCACCCAAGGGCCCATCACCCCTAGGTGCCAAGCCGTCCCCTCCCCCAATGGAGACATGTTTTGTCCATGTCTGCATTCTCCAGTCTCCCTTTCAACCTCATCAGCTGAAGTCCAGGGGAAAGCCTATGGGGACATCTCACTGGTGGGCTGAGAAGAAAAGCTCAGGGACTGACAGCCACATGGTTCCCACACAGAGAGCCCTTGCTGTCACTACTGAGTCATCTGTGACACCAGACCCCTAGCTGGACCAAAACGGTGGCGTTCCTCAGAGCACTTCCTCGCTGTGTTTTTTATGGCCCACACAGAGCTAAACACACAAGAGAACCTGTAGACAGACTAAAGAATAGACCAGCAGCCAGGGGAGAGGCACCAGCTGGTGCCTGGAGTTTCACAGGGCTATCACTGGGGTGTCCCTGCTCAGGGGAAGCCCAAGATCCACGGTTGGTATGAAGGACAGGCCTCTGACTCAGCGGCAAAGTAGATGACATGGGAAAGCTGAGAAAAGAGCCCCCAAAGCATCATCCCACGAGACAAGAGACCCACCCAAGCCCCCAATTTGGGGGCATTTCTGGATCTATCAATCCCCAAAGGAGCCTTCATTATCCAGTGCTGGGGGCAGCTGTGCTTGGTAGCACCTCTGTTGCAGAGACCTCTCCTGGGGCTCAGCATGAAAAACAGGTTTGTTTTCCATGGTCAAAATAGCAATCAGAAGGCCTCTCTGCTGATAATTTTTGCCTGTTTGGTGAACTCAAACAGACTTGTTTTGTTTTCAGTTTCTCAGGACCTGGGGGTGCAGAGCAGAGAACAGGAGAAAGAGAGGAGCCAACCCCAGGAAGAGTGTGGTGACCAGAGGTGGCCCTGGAGAACCAGGAAAGCTGCTCTTGCTTCTCCCAGAGGCAACACGTTCTCAGCTGGAAGAGATGAGGCTAACCGGGTCGGCACCTGGTTATGTAGGTCCAAAGGCTTTCTGCTGAGCTTGGGCCTGGGTGTCTATGTAAGAGAGAGTATGTGTGTGTGTGCACAATGGGTGGGTGTCAGGGAGTAGGTGAAGCCTATGCTTTCTTGACCTTCAATACTGGACAATTACTTATGCTTTTCAGATACTCAGAAAAGCTTTTAAATCCATGTGATATGTTTGGGTGACTGGGAAGTCTGTGGAGGCCCCAAGTGATGGACCACAAAACCCTGACTATGGGATGCAGAGACCAGGCTGTTTGTATTGACCCAGAAAGAGCCATGGAGAATTAAGAGACAAGAGCAGACTTCAGCCACACCACGTGCCCCATGGCTCAGTCACAGCCTGGATGAGGCCAGGGTATGCTACTCCACAGAGAAGGAGAATCTGCATCTGAGAAGCCCCATTCTCCAGAGGCAGGAAGTAGGTTCTGGGTGGGTCAGGCAACGCCCAAAGGACACTACATTCAGAGTATTCACCTCCTCAGGGCGGCTCAGCACATGTCCCTCGGGGCCTGTGATGCCCAGATCCAGGATTCTCTGCTGTTCCTGCAATGTTCAAAGAAAGTGAAGTTTCAGGACAAGCTGGACTTGAGATGGCTCTGACTGCCTGAAACCTGGTGATAAAACGTTACGCAGACAAGACCTAAAAAATGTCACCACTGAACCCTTGGGTCTTACCACAAGACCCCATGCAGAGAAGCATTAGCTCCCGTTTTGTGTCCAGTCCTGGTTCGGAAACAGCACAGCTATAGCCTCCCAGTGAGGTCCTGCTTCAGCCTCAAGCTGCCCCCACAGGCACCTGCACCACACAACTGAGAAATGGCGTCTGCGTGGAAAGAGGACAGGCTGCTCGGCCACAGGGCCTATTAAGGAGCACGTGTGTCAGGGCTGGTGAGGCCGTGAGCCCAGTGCCCAAGGACTGACCCACCAGGTCACCCTGCCTTTCCACCCAGCAAGTGAGCCCCCAGAAGGGAGCTTCCCAAAGGGACTGACAACCGCCTACCTCTGCAATGATGTCGCCGTTCTCTGCATGGACTTGGGCAATTGCGCCGATATCCCGGATCACGCTCAGTACCTCATAGATCTGAGACAGAGGGTAAGGTCAGAGTCAGGGGCTGCAATCTTCCTGTTCACAAGTACCCCAATTCCTGTCAGCCTCGGGGAACAGCAATGGCTGCTTCTATTGAGCTCCACCGTCTTGACAGGCCTGAGGGCCAATCAGCAGAGGCAGCCCAATCTACAAGGATGTGGATTAGGAGTGGAGAGTGCAAGGGTGTCACCTGGATCTGCACAGGGTGCTAGGGGTTGGGTGGGGCTCTCAGCTATGCTGGCCCCTATTCCTAGGGGATACCTCCCTCCTGCGGACCAGGGCACAGGGTTCATACACTCCCTGAGTGTGAAGTTACATCACCACCAATACCATCCCATGAAGCCTAGGGATGTACACATGCTGGAGATATCTTTCAAGGCAATGGACTGAATGAACCAAATGTCAGAGAGCCTGTTCTTACCTGGGAGTCTGTTAGCTGGAAGCGATCTTTGAAAGCCATGTACACAAGGAAGGAATTCACCCCTAGTGGATAAAACAGACATGGACATATGACTAGTAGATAAGCCAAATATCAATGAATCAAGAAGAGAATAAGAAAGTTTAAAATACTATGCATATGTATGCAGAGAGAGACACACAGAGAGGAAGAGAGAAGCAAAGATGGAGACACAATGATAAAACAAATGGGATAAAATATAAACAATGTAGATCTGGCAATAGGTCTCTAAAGAATCTCACAAGTTTTGCTAAGTTTAAAACACTATAAAATTAAGTTACCTAAATGTATTTGCACACCCATATGTATATATAATAGCATTACTTACACTATTAAGGGGTGAAAGAAATGCAATTGTCCACTGGCAAAGGGATGGATAAACAAAATGTGGTATATGTTGACAGTGGAATACTATGCAGCCTTTAAGATGGAGGGACAATTGGAAACATATAACATGGACATACCCTAGAAAGGAGGGTTTATCCATGTTAAAGAAGGGTTAAAGAAGAAATATGCCAGTCATAAAATGACAAATACTATCGGATCGGATCCCACTTACAGGTCATAGAGACATAAAAGAACAGAGCATCATTAAGAGTTGCCAAGGAGAATGGAAACTTATTGTTTAAAGAATGCCATTTCAGTTCGAAAGATGAGAAGTTCTGGAGATGAACAGTGGTGATGGTTGCACAACAGTGTGTATGAACTAAATGTCACTGAACTGTACCCTGAAAAATGATTACAATGGCAAAACTGATGTTATATATTTTACCAACTGTCAGTTAAAACCAAAGTTGTCCCCAAAAATCCAAGTTGTCCCCAACTATTGTGACCTTAACAAGAAAATGAAACAGAAAATTCTGCCAACGAGATCTATAATAAAGTATATTTTCTTTGGTAAACATGCTGTCCTCCAATGTTGATTTTTTTTTTCCCAATGTTGATTTTTATGAAACAATTTTGAAAAAAGGTCCATCGGCGAGGCCAGCAGATGTTGCAATTCTTGTGGTGGCATTTTAGTTTGTCTCAGAGGCACCAAACATCTCTGCCCAACATCCATCACCACAGTAAACAAGCGCACTGACAGCCGCCTAGCCTGGGAAGCTAATGCGAGCCACCTGGAACCAGAAAAGGGCCTGCATCCAGGGCCTCAGGACCCCCTGTTCCCTCACTCAGAGGCAGGCTACTGCTGCTCTATAAGTATAAGGAGTTAAACCCATCTGAGGCTTGGTAATCTTAAGGTGAGAATAGTCAAGGGTTTTGTTTATTTTTTTTATGCAGAACCTTTGTGCTAGGGAGAATCCTGTGTTAGCCCACAGCCCACCTGGGAGATTTGTTTTTGAACTGAGACTCAAAATGTAAGTGCCTGGGCCCTCCCTGGTGGTGCAGCGGGTTAAAGTACAGCACTGAGAATCTAAAGCCGCTTCTGCATGAGTTCCATTCCCGCCTGCCCCGGAGGTGACCACATGGCGCGGCAGACCTCTCCTGACCCGCCCGCTGCTCCCCTCAGCAGTGTACTTCATCCATCTGCCTGTTTTGCTCCCCACTCTGTCTCTGGTGAAGCCTCTCACTGCCCCTGAGCCTCTGACCTGTACCCCAGTTCTGTATGCACAAATAAATAAATCTTAAAAAAAAAAAAAAAATTAAGTGCCTGGTCCACAAACCTGGTCTGAAGAAAAACAGAACAATAAGCCCAAGACTCTAGATTTTCAGTCTGGGCCTTTCTACTATATCAATAGATATTTATCCTAGCCATGCCAAGAATATTCCCTCCTGCTATTTTACTAGCAGCTCATGAGTCTTGAAGTCCCAGAACCCAAAAGCAACAGGTATTCCCCAGTTAAGATCTATGAGGTCAACATGGGACCCCAGGAACCTCATCAACAGCAAAGCTCAAGGGCAGCCCACACAGGACGTGTCTCAGGAACACTGCTTGAACCGGTGGGGCGCCTGCAGGCGCAAGTCTGAGAGACACCTCAAGTAGGCAAGACTTTTCCTGTCTCCCTGGGAATCTTTCACTCAATATATGGAATCTTCTACCCAAACTAGTCCAGTGGAACTAAAAAGACCCCCCCCCCCAGTTTGACCCAAAGCCTCACCACCCTCCCATCTATCTCAGTTCTTCCAGCTTTGCAGGGAGAGATCGCACATGTTCTCCATGCCAGGTGCAGGAGCTCCTTAGACCACCCTGGAGTTATGCTGGGACATCACCGTGACCCTCTGGGGACAGCTACCCCTGCACTCACTCCCCAGGTGGCAAGCCGGTCTCTTCAAACAATGACTTTGGGAGCAGCTGTCCCCTGACAGGTTCCCCATGAGGGAATGAGACTCAGGTTCTCGTATCAAGCAAAGTTTCTGCTGCTTTTTATCGGGTCTGGCCACCTCCCATCAGCATGAGCTGTGGCCCGGTCCTCTGCCTGCAGGGAGGGAGTAGGGCTCTCTGGGGCCTAGAAGCACATCACAGAGCTGTGCCAGGCGCACACCGAGAGGGCCGGTCCCAGGAGGGGCGGTGCAGGGCGACCTACCGTGGTCCTTCACCAAGGCCTCCATCTCCTCCTGGATGCCCTTATGCCACTCGGTGATGTCCACGTGCAGGGAGTAGTCGCAGCAGGACTTGCTGTCGGCCCATTCCCTCCACTGGTCGAAGGCGGCCAGGAGGCTTGTCCCAGGCTCAGGAATGACATGATCAACTGGAAAGGAACAGACATTGACATCATCATCATGAGGGGCTCCAAGGGCTGTGGCCCAGGAGCGGCTTTCCCATGACAACCCTGAATAAGGTGTCTTCGGGCTCAAAATCGAGGTGGTGATCTCTGCAACCGCTTCTAAGAATCCACCTAAGCCAGCTGGACACCCAAAAGGGAGAGAGCAGAAACTTGGCATGGGTGACTGCTTTGGTGAAACCACGCATGAAATGACCAGATCTGATTTCTCAGCTCAAAACCCCTGAAAGCACATACTTTGGGCACATTTCGTGGACAATGAGTCCTTATGGACAATGGCAGTGTCAAGTGGCAGCCAGAGCAGCCAAATCCTTCTTTGTGTCGATAGCCGCTTGTGAGACGCCCTCGCTAGACAGCAGGGAACCTGAAGACGCTGGACTGGAGCCATGCGGACTGGGCCTTTTAAAGTTCCCCTGTATATCCACGCTCTATCGCTGCTCATATTTCTGCAGCACAGTGCCACTTTGTAATTTAAGGGTGATCTTTCATCTGACGAGTTCAAAGTGTTCTTAAAGTGGTGGCTATGGTTGCAGTATGATTGAGCTGGCAGACTGATACGGAAGACAGAAGACTCTGGAATCACAATGACCTGATTGCTGCACTACCTACCGTTAAGGTGTCTTTGAATTGGCTACTTGATTTCTGCTACCCTAAATTTCTATGTTGGCTTCAAATGAGTATATTACCTACCACAAACATTTGTTGGGAGGCTCCTGGGACCTAACCTGCCATGAATCTTTTTTCTAAGTGAAATATTAAATTGTCTGGTATTCTGAGTGCCAGAAGTGCTCAGCTGAAGACAGTCCAGGCAATGATACTGGACTTAAATTTCTGAAAATGATGACATCTTGCAGATTCTGCTAAATTGTCTAAAGACTTGACTTTCTTGTCTAAAGAATGAATCTTTCTTGAAAAAAAAATTTAGTTTTATGAACAATAGCATATGTAATTAAATGGGTACATGTATACCTGATCCTATAACAAATATATTACACATTATATATAATATATTATATATAAAATTATATTATATATTATAATGTATTATATATATAACATATTATATCAATTATATACAATGCTGCCTAAGAAAAAGCTTGAGCACGTATGCTTCTAATGCAAGCCGAGGCCATCTGTAAAATGTTAACATGAAACAATGACAAAATAATTCCACTTTCCATCCTCAAAAGTGTGTCCCACCCTCACAAAAAAAAAGGAGAGGAAAGAATGAAAATATTACTTTGTAGCCATCAGTTGGGACAGACTTTCCCTAACCACTCCCTGCTTCACCTCTTGCCTGTTCCAAGCCACCTCTCATAAGTAATCAAAAGGATCTTAAACCTTCCATCACTCCCTGATTAAGTCCTCTAGTAGCTTTAGAGGATTTAAAATCCACCACTTTTAGGGCCCTCCCTGGTGGCGCAGTAGGTTAAAAGCACAGCACTAAGAAGCTAAAGCTACTTCAGCATGAGTTCGATCCCCACCCCGGAGGTGACCCACATGGCGCAGCAGACCTCTCCTGACCCACCCACCGCTCCCCTCAGCAGTGTACTCTGTCAGTCAGCCTGTTGCTCCCCACTCTGTCTTTGGTGAATCCTCTCACCACCCTTACACCTCTGGCCTGTACCCCAGTTCTATTTGCATAAATAAATAAATCTTTAAAAAAATAGTCCACCACTTTTAGAGTAAAATTAATTCAAGCTCCTTCCCTTGCTGCTGGCTCTTCCCCTGCCATATATTCCACTCCTACCCCCTGCCCCCCAGTATCAGGCCACTGCGGATGTTTACAATTTGGCCTGCCCAGCTCCTACCCAAAGCCAGGCACTGTGTGGGTATCACCTCCTCAAGTTCACTGGGCCAAATATCACCACCCCAGGGTCACAGCATGATTGGCAGTAGAATCTGATAACTTTCCTAGTTTGTTATCTGCCTCCCTTGCGAGCATACAAGCTCCCTCGGAGCAGGAAGTGAGCGCACAGACCTCAGAAAGCTCAGTGAGTATTTTCCGTTGATGAATCAATGCTCCCTCCATTCCATCTATTCCACCCTGCAAGGTCAGGTCAAGACAGGAGGCAGTGGTCTGGGAATATAACCAGGTTTTCCTACATTAACCCCAAGAACAGGTAAGATCACCTGGCCCTCTGCTCCTAAGAATGGTCCCAAGAGCACAATGCCACACATCACTGCCAGAGTGCAGGTCTTGTAGGTTGGGCTGGGATTGAGGATTTGCCTCTGGACTAAATCATCCTGAGAGTGACCAGGTCTGCCTGGACCAGGCTGAACTTCTTTAACTGGGTGTACATCTTTTCCCACTCCTTCTCCTGCCAGTCCCATTCACCGGTGCCCATTTTAACAGGAGGGTCTTACTCATTACACAACAGCATTGCCACTTAGACACTCACAGGGCTCCTGATATGTGTAATACAGTAGTTTCCGCCATATCCAAAAACAGCTACTAGAATTATGAACTCTTGACACAGGACGCAGACAAAACTGAGGACTTTGGGGAAATAAACATGTTTTCCCCAAGAGCTAATGACACTGAGAAATGTGTCCCTGAAAAGCCTCCACATGTTTTCCCACAGTTCCCTCCTGGGAGGAGCAGCTGGAGGAATGGGGCCAAATGTCATACTTGCTTCCGGGGGCAACAGAGCCCGCACTAAGGAAACAAGCCTAAAAACAATGAACACTGAACCCACAGGCCTTTCTGCACTGACATTCCTAAGTCATCTGTCCATGCAGGAGCTGGTTTTTGCCACCAGCACTTCTCCATCCACTGAAGGCTCACGTGAGGACGCCCATGCACCCAGCCTTCCACCAGGCGGGGGGCGGGGAGATGGGCTTCGGTGATCTGGCTCCTGCAGCCACACGCCCTTGGCTGGGGATGTGCTTTGTTGGAATGTCCTTCTTCTCTAGAAATGTGGGCCTGAAACTACCTATTGGGTGAGTTTAAATCCAAGACGTGTGTGAAATCACCCGGGAAGACACCTAGCACATGCCAAGTTCACGGTCGTCAGCATGAGCAACAGGAAGCAGCACGGTGCTTCCAGTGGCAGCCTGTGAATCCAGTTCCCAAGAGAGTCAAGAACACGCCCCAGGACGGCAGCTGAATTTAGGAGTCACAAGCCAGTGTCCAAAGCACGTCCATCTAGAAGACACCAGCTATTTCCAACGGGCTGTTACTATTTCTCTTAAAACTGTCAGAGGACCCTATACTTTTAAACAGCTTCATTGAGATATAACTCACAAACTATACAATCCACCCATAAACTGGCAATTCAATGGTCTGAAGTCTATTCAGAGCTGTAAAACCACAACCACAATCTAATTTTAGACCATGGCCCAAAAGAAAGTCCATGCCTGTTAGTCGTCCCTCCCTAAGCCCCTCCTGCCCTGCAACTCCCAGCCCCAGGCAACCACTAATTTGCTTTCTGTCTCTATAGATGTGCCTGTTCTGGACAGTTCACATTACATGGAATCACACACTATGTGGTCTTCTGTGCTGCTTCACTTGGCATCAAGTTTCAAGAGACATCCACGTTGTAAGCGTGTATCAGTACATCTTTCCTCTTCGGCCTGAAGAGGTTTTGCTAAACTGTTTTTGGGTTTACTAGATATTGGCAAAGTACTAGATACAGCAAGAAAGCTGCTCCTTAAAAAATCAAAAACAGGGGTCCTCCCTGGTGGCGCAGTGGGTTAAGCACAGCACTGGGAAGCTGAAGCCACCTCAGCATGAGTTTGATCCCCACCCTCGAGGTGACCCGCATGGTGCAGCAGACCTCTCCTGACCCACCCGCTGCTCCCCTCAGCAGTGTGCTTCATCGATCTGCCTGTTCTGCTCCCCACTCTGTCACGGGTGAAGCCTCTCACAGCCCTGCACCTCTGGCCTGTACCCCAGTTCTGTATGAATAAATAAATAAATCTTAAAAAAAAAAACAAAACTAAAAAACAGGACTTCTTTAGACTCTGTCATATTTAAAAGGCCGTAATATTCTTGACTTTTTCTTCTGAGATAATCGTAGATGCACATCCCGTTGTTAAGAAGTGACAGAGAGACCTTCACCCTTATGTCCCCCAGAGGTAACATCTGGTAACTTTAGTACAAGATCACAACCAGGAAGTTGATGCTGATATAACCCAAAACCCCAAGCTTTTAAAAGGTCAGGAGTTGGTATTTCTGATCCGTTCTCAAGGGCCCTTCATATTCAAAACACAGAAATGCCAAAAAAAAAAAAAAAGGCCATCATGTGGTCCCCATTCTAGATTTAAAGTGGCTGAGCAGGAACCACATTCCAGTCTACTGGCCAGACTAGCAGCAAGAGGAGAAAGAGGGGAGCAGATAACCTTGCCAGGCCCCCCTTCCAGCCACCCAGCCCCACACAGACTCCTATAGGGCAGTTCTAAAAACTCTGCAGAACAGCCCATCTCTTGCCCCCCGTTCCAGAATCATCACTGCCTCAGTCTCTACTTCCTGTACTTTGTGTTGCTGACCTCTCTCTTCTTCAGCTTGGATAAATTAATGGACTGGAATCAAATGCAAACCATCAGGGAGATGAGAACACAAACCACAGCAGGCTAATCCACGTGGCTTCCGGAGCTGCATGGACTCAGCAAAATGCCGGGTGACCTATTCAACAGGGAATGGCTTTGTTGGTAGAGAGATAAGAACCTTAGGGACTCCAGCCTGCCTGTTAGGACAACATGGTTTTGTTCTGGGGGGAAAACGGAGCTGAGGATGAGAAAGCACCTGTCCTCAGGGACAGACCACAGACCATAGGAGAAAACAGGAGCAGCCAGGGTCAGATGTGCAAGATTGTCAACCTCCTCTGCTTCTTCACCTATAAAATGGGGCTAATGCTCAGACCTAACCCCAAGGTGAAAGTGAGTTGCTGTGGGAACTACTTCGGAGAGTACCAGCTGCACCCATGAGCCCAAGACCCACCCAAGGGAAGCTGTTTCTTTCTTTT